CTCTCTCTCTCTCTCTCTCTCTCTCTCTCTCTCTCTCTCTCTCTCTCTCTCTCTCTCTCTCTCTCTCTCTCTCTCTCTCCCCCTCCTCTCTCTCTCTTTTTTCTATTTTTCGAATTCTCACCTATTTCGCTGCAAATTGCGAGAAGACGACTGCAACGTCGCGCCGGTACTATTCTGGCTTGCACTACGCGTGCCACGCTGATCAGCGGATGTTCGAGGTAACCTAGGACTTCCTGCTAAGACAAAGCCCAAAAAGCACGCGATAACGAGCACCGTTTGTTTCATAATTACAATGTCCTGCGAACCTGCGTTTTTAAATAAAAGCCTCGATCGACGCGCAACTACGTTTGAAGACGCAAACGCATAGTTACGTGGACTGGGTGCATATATGTAAGGAAAAACTCATTCGATTCGCAATTAAGTTCGCAATGCGCGCTACTCCGTGTACGCTTTCGACTTTCCTCCCTTCCTGCCTTCCTTCCTTCCTTCCTTCCTTCCGTTTCGTTTATCCACGTCGCATGCGTGATTATACACATTTAACTTCTAGTCCGCACTCACTGTGTGTGTGTGTGTGTGTGTGTGTGTGTCGCACGAGCACTTTCATTTATCACATAGTGTCGCGCGAACGTTAAATAAAATTCGTGACTGAAATTTATTTATACGACGAACTCTACTCGTCCGCGCATAACTGCAGACGGGAAATCGAACTTGAACACGTGAATCTCTCGAGCTTTCGAAAATCGACGTGGTATTTCTTTCGAAAACGCGCTTCGAGCGCTTCGCGAGCGATTTTTACTTGAAAAATAATACGGGCAAATTAATTATTATCACGCATCGATATGATCTTCCTCGCGCAATCACTTGTCTATATCGCGTTCTTAGACTCGGAACGGAAAGACAGTTTCTACACACATCCGCCCGTTTCTACAAAAAAAAAAAATAGAAAATTATTAGGATTAAAAAGACACAATGTAAAACACTCTGTATTGTAATGTGAAAAGACGTGCAATTTAGCCGGGAGAAACTTCACTTTGCCAGAAACCGGAGACTTGGGTGGTCGAGTT